AAATGTCATAAAAATTGTGTTGCTAGCTTCATTTTGCAAAAATGTTGCAAGCTTTTCCACAGCGTGAACAGAATACTACTTTGCTGAGGAAAAGTTGTGGAATTTCACACTTACTTCACTGAAAGAAATTTGATATGCAATTTAACAGCTTTTTCACGTGAAATAGGAATAAAAAACTAGGCTTAAGAACAAAGATTTTTAAATTGACAAAAAATTAATAAGAAAATTTGAAGGATTTTAGATATTGGGTATGGTAGCACGAAATGCCACAATCTGATTAATTGTCAGGTTGTTAATATTTTTATTATAAAATCGATACTTCGATAAACAATGAGAATTTTTAATAAAAAATCGGGCGATTTTTTTTGAAATTTTAGCAAAAGTCGTTATAACCAATTTATGAGATTGAAAATGAAAAGCGTGGGGCGCATGCAATACAAAGCATTATATTTAATTGACAATAGGCAAACTACATAACATAGACCTAAAATTTCTTCAGCGAAAGTACAAATTTGAGATCGATTTTAAGCGGTCGTTATTCATATATCCACATACATATGAACATATATTACCCTTCATATCAATTCAGGTGGCTATTATATGCGCCCCACGCTTTTCATTTTCAATCTCATAAATTGGTTAAAAGTTTTTTTTTATATTATTTATTTTATTTAAAAATTGTCGCCTGCGGCGCTTTTTATAATAAAATCAATACTTCAATAATGAAAATTTTTAATTAAAAATCGCGCGATTTTTTATTACAAGTTTTCGACCGCGGCGCATATTATAAAATCAAAACTTCAATAAATAATGAAAATTTTTCGATAAATAATGAAGTTTTATTTAAAAATCGCGCGATTTTTTATTAAAAATTTTCCCCTATGGCGCTTTTTATTATAACATCGATACTTCGATAAATCGCGCTATAAATAGTTACAATTTTTAATAAAATATCGCGCAACATTATCTGCATTTTTTCATTGTTTCAGTTTTGTGTTTTGTTTTTTGCATCTTTTGGTATGTATGGCAGCACCGACATTTCAGTTCAGTTGGTGTACAAGGGAAAAAGTGAGGTTGAATTCGGTATCACAGTATATACAGTAATAAACCTTTTTGAGTACTCCTCGGGGGTAAAATCTGATCAGCGTTGATAATGAGAAGGAGCATGCATTTTGTTCATTCAGAGTTGTATACAAAATTACTGTGGTATGAAAGGGAGCAACAACCGTACTATGGCAGAGTGGCATGTCATGACTTTGTAATAATAACCGAAATTAATTGCAAAAGTGTAAAAACATTGTCTATTATTATAGATACTAGTACAGATGATCATAGTTCAGTGCATAACTTGTTATATTACACCGTACCAATGAACATAGATATCAAGGGACAACTCGTTTTAATTGTAGCAAAAGTGAGTAACATGGGCGTGCCTTCTCTTTTGCCCTAGTAAGTTTTTTAATTGGATGAAAAGAGAAGGCACGCCCCTGCTACTGACTTTCGCTACCATTATAACGAGTTGTCCCGTCTTGTTATCTACGTTATTTGACCGTACTTGATAATGAACTGTTAAATGCTGAAAACGCTTATAACTTGTAGATCACTCAAACTTGGGTGTGCTTAATGAACTGTCTGGGCGGATGCGCTGGCAGGCATTGGAGTCTGTATAACTATACAAACCTTGTTTTTTTTTAAATAAAGACTTAAATATATTTGGAAATTTAGAATTTTGCTTGAAAAATTCACAAAATTTTACGTTTTTCATATAAATATAATCTTATAATGGACTTTTTTTTTATTTTAAACTTACATTTAAGAAATTCATTCAGTGCTATACTTACGATTTGAGTTCTCCAGTTTATAAAACACAAGCGTTAATTATGTACTTCATTAAGCATGAATATCAGCATATATTAAAGATGCATATTATATTTAAGCTACATTTTGTTCATAAATAACACATAATTATGTGTATTTTATCCTCGAAAAGAACATTTCTAATCATGAGCCGAAATTCCCCACAATAAGTGTAGCCGTGCGCGCAATACGAAAACGTTGCACACAACCCAAAGGTACTCCTCGGGGACCAAATGGTGTAAAACTGCGAAAAGGTTTATTACTGTATATACTGTGTTCGGTATTTTTTCCAACTTTAAATGCGAATTACTTAAAAACTAGGCTGCAATTTAGTTTGGCATCCCCAGAGTTCTGCATTAAGGTAGCTATGGAACGGTAGAGGGAGTTCTCCTGATTGCAAATATATATACTTTTAGCCGCAGCAGGCCTATAGTTTTTAAGTTATTTGTTGTTAAAGTTTGTAAATTGAACTAACCTCTCGGCGCTATTTCACACAATAAACAATATATTTATGTACACACTTCGGCAAAATAGTTGCATTAAAACCCCGGCCTAAGATTTCCACTTTAATATACAATTCTTAATTAATTAACAAGTAAGAGCAGCGCTGTCTTCGGCTATGCCGAAGGCTTCATACCTTTCATGATCTTCTGCAAATTTTACTTTGACAGATTACTGCTTTTGAATACATCTGCATACATCGATAGAGGAGTTACATACTTATATAAAAAATCGCATCTAAACAATCAGAGGTATGGAAGATATACTTTATATGACACCAATCTAAGTGATTTTCACCGCTATGTGATCGGTATGTAAACCGGTAACACAATTTATTGGGTTTAGTTTCATACATAAAGGAGATATATGGCAAAAACTGGTATCTTAACAATCAGTGCTATAGGAGATAAAGCTTATACAGCATAGATTTTGACGATTTTCTCAGTAGACTTTGTATTATTATTTATAAAATATCTTACGAAATTTATCGGTTTTAGCTGTTCAAATAAAGGAGTTTTACAGTAAAATCCCATATCTGAACAATAAGATGTATGGAAGATATATGTTGAAGTCATCCGATCCTTGTTATTTTCACTGTAAGTATTCTGTTAATAATGAGTGAAAATGGTGCGAAATTTCATGTTCCTAGCTGCATGAATGGAGGAGTTATGATAAAAGACCTCATATCTGAACAATCAGTTGTATGGGGGCTGCAGGTTATAGTGACCCGATCTTTGTTATTTTCGCTGTAAGTCTTCTGTTTATAATGAGTGAAAACAGCACGAAATTTCATGGTCCTAGCTACATAAATGGATGAATTATAACGAAAAATCTCATATCTGAACAATCAGTTGTATGGGAGCTATAGGTTATAGTTACCCGATCTTTTTAATTTTCACTGTAAGTTTTCTGTTGATAATTATTGAAAACAGTGCGGAATTTCATGTTCCTAGCTATATAAATGGAGGAGTTATAACGCAAAATTTTATATCTGAACAATCAGTTGTATGGGAGCTATAGGTTATAGTGACCCGATCTTTGTAATTTTCACTGTAAGTATTCTGTTGATAATGGGTGCAAGTATTGCAAAATTTCATGTTCGTAGCTGCATAAATGGAGAAGTTATAATGAAAAATCTCATATCTGAACAATCAGTTGTATGGGAGCTATATGTTATAGTGGTCCGATTCTTCCGGTTCCGACAAATGATTAATACATTATAAAAATACACCCACCTACCAAATTTGATCCGGATATCTCGAAAACTGAGAGACTAGATTGCATACAAACAGACAGACAGACGGACAGACGGACATGGCTAAATCAACTCAGCTCGACGTTCTGATCATATAAGTATACATTTTCATGGGTCTATCTCTTTTTGTTCTGGTACTTACAAACATCGGACCAAAGTTATAATACCATTTCATGCTCATGAAAGGTATAATTAAGTAAAACGCGTTTATAAATGTCTTCACAAACGTTTGCACATTTCACAAACAAGCAGAAATAGCAATGGCTGACAGTAACACAAAATGTATGCTACCATACGTTAAAAAAATACACCATAAATAAGTGCGTATAATTAGGGCGTATAAGTGTACAATACGTATACATTGCTCTTATTAAAAATAATAATAGTTGTGTTCTCGTATTCTCCAGCAAAAAATATCCAGTAACTTGCCAGTAACCAAATTTCGGAGAGTAAGCCAATATTTACTCCCAATGAGTGAAATATGCAAGAAAGTACGAAAACGCAAAACCAGCAAGAAGTTGCTAGTTTTATGAACAGCTGATTAATATGTTAATTTCCGATGCAATTTTCTTAGAAAACTAGTATTTTCCATCTTATTATATATTTAAATAGGTTTATTTGGTCAATTTCAACTCTAAAAGCACCACAAATAATTATTTTGTTAATATGAATTACATTAAGCATCATGCCATCAGCTGTTTTTCTTACTAGCATTTTATTCCATGACGCTGTTCCGCTTTTTTCTAAAGTACAAAGGGGCGTGGCCAACAAAAGCCACTATGCGAACACATTAAGCAAATAAACCACCATTTGTACCATCGTGCTCACAGCCCTGCAATAAAATTGAGGGTCTTCCCGCCATCTATTCGATTTAGCATCAGCAAAAATCACTTTGTAAATGAATCACTCTTGAATATTCGATATATGCACGCATGTATGTATGTATGTGTAAACCATGATTCAATAATTATTGAATCATGTGTGTAAACCATATTTGCACCATCGATGTCACTTCCCTGCAATAAAATTGTGGTTCTTTCCGCCATATTTTAGCCCCAGCAAAAATCATTTTGTAGACGAACTTTAGCACTTATGAAATATACGTATAGACATATCGCACACCGTCTTCAAAAGGGTCACAACTCAAAATAGTACGTTCGTCAGAAAATGCGAAAAATTATTTTGTAGCGCATGCTAATCATATGGGCAAGGACGAATTTACCTTAGGTTTTCTTTAACAAATAATAAAAATATGCTCGCTTTTGCTGAAAGGTAAATAAAAGCTCTGTGCAGATTGCATTTAGCATTGTGCAAAATGCTAAATTTTAAGTTGTGACTTTTGAAGGCGGTGTGCGATATGGGCAAATTCAGTTCTCTGGTACTCTACCTTTGAGGAACCTTTAGTAGGTATGACCCCCTTCGCGTTAACCTTGAAGCCATTTTTGCGCGAACGAAACCCTGTTATAGACGCCGGATCACAGTTTCCACTTCCACTGTTTGTTACTTCAGACAGCATATTTTCGAGCATTTTGCTGTAGTAATTAACAAAAAACACTACTCTGGAGCCCCCGGTCAGTTCCAACAAGGAATGCGCGTAGGGACCACAGTATAGACAGTAGTCAACCTTTTTGGGTTGCTGACTAGTAATCGGCGTTGTTGTAGCTATATTCACCCTTGAGGAAGGCACTGGGTTGTGTTTTCATAGATTTCAGGGTTGTGTGCTGCATTATTAGATAAATAAATTTAAGCATTTGACAAATCGTGAATTTATTAAAAGAAAATTATAAATGGTGTTGAAAAAACAAACAAACGCTCGTGCGAAAGCTCTATTTTTGTGTGCTGTTAAAATTTATACATGGCGATATTGAAGGTAATACAAGCAATGTATTCATTTGTGGATTTAATGTTACTTGAGATTTTAGGCAAAGTGTAAGCTGCCAGGTTCTTTTATCAATATAATATATAAATAGAATAAACAAATATTCGCAAATAAATTTGATTTATTTAATAATTGAAAACTAACGTACGCTTTTTGTTCTTTTCCAGGCTCCATTTTTATTTAGACTCTTTATTACCGCTAACAACTTTATGTGTATACATATTTACAAGCTGTCAAAATTTTGCGTAGTCATACGAGCTAAGTAAAAATGAATGCGTTGTTTGATCTTTCCAAATTTTCTCATTTTTATCAGTTGGTAAAGACCCTCAGTGGCAGCGTTGAGATAGTAATTCCATGTCAATTAGTAGAAAAGTTCCATGATGAAACAACTTTTTATTATGGTGAGAAAATTTTACATTTCTGCTGTGCCAATTCGTACCTTTTTACTGCTGGAAATTTTTGGCATTTGCTCTGGTGCAAAAGAAGTTGAGCAATTAAAATGCAGAAATTATGCAAAAAATACTTGTCTTTACTGACTTTGATTCTTCTAGAACTAAAAGCCATGCATTTATTAGACGTCTTAGTAATAACATTAGAACAAAAAAATACTTCAGCCCGGCCGGGTTGAACATTTTCATTTACGTCATAGTTGTCAAAAATTTACAATCCGGAGTACTTTCTTTCAATTGGCACAGGCCCTTTCACAAAAAAGGTTAATGAATGCGTTTTATTTAAATCGTTTATAAAATGAGTCATTTATGTATGTTATGTGGAATTATGTGTGTGTTTTGTGGAATTATTTAATAAATTTCGTTTTGCACTATACTTTTTGAAACTATTTGAAGTTAATTGATTTTTGTTCCTGCGTGCTTATACGGCCTATGGACCTATAATTTCATCCCGGGCATATTCGTCACCGAGCTCAGTATATCCAGTAAAAAAAACTGTGGTGAAGTCCTTTATGGGGATAAAGTTTCCAGAGGTGAAATTTTAGGTAGCACACAATTTCTTACACGCATGGTTGCTTTTCAGCACTCATGAAAGAAACTTAAGAAATATTTGAAAAAAAAATTCATATAGTACATTAATTTTGAAAGAAATACCATATAATGTTTGTACTCTGGTTAATAATATCAAAAAATGTATTAGAACCACTGTTTAATGTTATATTTGATACAAATTAATATTGCTGCCCCGAACGCTCTGCGCCTTGCCACTGAATAATAGATTTACTTAAAATTACATCCCTGGTCCTTGTTCTTTCTGTATCGCATCGTGGTGAATTCATATTTCTCAGAAATTTGACAACAAAACAAAACAAAGCAAGTATTTTATTTGCTAATTTTTGCGATTTCTATTGTTTAATGTAAATTTGTCTTTTTAGGATATGTCGAGCCAACAAAGAAGGCGCAGTTGGAAAATTTAGTAATTAGTATTGAAGTAGCAGGCATATTTGGAAAATTATGCCGATAAACAGGATGGAATTTGGGAAAGTAAGTGCATGGTTGCAGCATATCTATGTATAAAAAGTATTTAATTAAATTGTTTATAGAAATGTTATAAATCGAGTGGCTCATTTACGATGTGCTCCAAACATTTGGCGAACTTTTTTCGCCTTTTCAACGTGCTAAGTAACAAGTTAAGATGACAGCCATCATGGGCCGGTAAGAAACCGCAAGCAAAGGGCAGACAACCTTCCAGGAAGCTGCCTCCTGTCCCCGAGCCGAAGCTGCAGTTCAGCAAGAGCAGGTCAGCAAATTGCTACCCTGATCAAACGTAAACTAAAGCGCTCTGCTGTGATTGCACTCCGTAAATGTGAAAACTTGGTGCATGCTGAGAAATATCAAACAGGAAAACTCCGTGATGGACGCCGTGAGATGGAGTAACGCTGTGTGGCAAAGAAATGCGGCCAATTCGACGGGCCTGAAAAATCCAAATTGGCTTTTGTGATCCGCATCCGCGGTATCAACAAAGTTGCACAAAAAGTGCGTAGTTTTACAGTTCTGTCTTCGCCACATTAAAACGGTGTGTTCGTCAAATTGAGCAAGGCAACCATTAATATGCTACTTATGCCGAACCCCCTATATGGGGTTATCCAAATCTTAAATCAGTTTGTGAATTGATGTACAAACGTGGAATGGTCAAGCGTGTCCCAATCTCTGCTTTGTGATCGAACGCAAATTTCGCGAAGCGCACGAAATTCAGTGCGTTGATTCACTTCAAGAAAGCCCCCAACTTCCTGTTGCTATTCAAGCTCAACACATCAACCCGAGGCTGGCGCAAGAAGGCTAATCACTACGTTGAGGTTGGTGATTTCGGTAGCCGTGAGGATAAGATCAACAAATTGCTGCACAAGATGGCTTAAAGAAATTGTTGTTCTGTATTTAAGTAGACAATATAATTTGGCACATCTTCAAAAGACGCCCAAGCAAAAAAAAAAGAGAAAATTAAAAAATTCCTGAAGTTGCCTTTTCACGGGTCGATTTCTGTCGACTGGAAAATTTACTTAAGATATGGACTAGCCAAAACGCTTACATTTTACGGTTGAATTGCAATTTACACGGGTAGATTTTGGTTAAACGACAAAAATCGACCGTGTAAAGGCAGCTTAAATAACGTTCAAATTAATCACCCCCTTTGAGATGGAAAATACCAATAACCATTTCATAATTTCGAAAATTATTCCATTTATATTTGTTCTTGCATTTTCCACACCACTTGTGAGGTATGCTTTTACGCGCGTTACCGATTTTTTTTTTAATGTGCTCGGTTGCCCAGGAGGCCTATTTTCACCTTTACAACTTAACTTAAACAGAATTAAAACTAAAGCATGCAATATATAAAGAAAATTAAAAGTTGTCTTACATCTAGTAAACTTAAAAAATTGCACATTAAATTCATTTTTCATTATAAAATAAAATTAAATATCACAATTCAGTTTACAAAATGTGGTCTGTTTGCACCCACAGTAATACTAGGTTCACATATAAGTAGATTATCCTCATTTTCGAGCTTAACACCCTAATCTGTAATTATAACAAGAGATTAGCCATATAAAATTCGTCCCTTGTTAATCTGTAATTATAAAATAATCTCAGATTAAACCGATAACTTTTCGGTGTCCATCCTAGTTTTATCGATTGTTTTTGCAAAAAAGAGTAGAAATGCCAAATGTAAAAGTAAACAAAAATTTAAGCTAGCAAGGAAGAGGTTTGTAAAGGTATTTTTAATAAAATGTTAAGTTAAAATATATTTATATTGCTTATTATAGCATAAAAACGTGATCACGGTCGCACAGAGAAGAAACATAACTTTTCCTTGAGATGTGAGAATAACAAGCACAACAAATTTGACAGCTAATAATCTGAGATTTGCCTGTGTAAACGGGGTGATTAAAAAACGAGCTTTGATTGTGATAATATTGATATGTGAACATAGTTTAAGTTCCCATGAAGCCTAGCCTAAATTCAGAATTGAAAAAAAACGAGCAAATGGGGTCGGAAACTACTAGCCCTAAAAGCATAATGTGGAAAATGTTTGAAGAGCTGCGAAATTGCTCGTTAATGATGCACCCAGGGTTGCATTTATTGTCTATGAAAATATTTCGTTAAGCGTTCCTAAATTAGCTCCGAGCAACTAAATGTTGGTTAAGCTTAAATGAAATAGTTTTTTATTAAATATTTATTCCTGGTATTTAGTAAAAAACATCAATACTAATGTATGAAAAACAAAACATCAATGCTAATGTATGAAATGAAGTAAATAAAAATCTACGAATACATTCCATGAATATTTTGTCATAGAGCCATTATTAAATTTAGACATAACTTTGTCAGGCGTTGGTACCTATGTGTATAGAATTAATGCGTTGGAGAGAGATAAATATACAAGTTCAACGCGCTAATTTAGGTATCCTTGTATGTATATACCTGTTACTCGTCTGGCATATACTCCAACTGCGAAAATAATGACAATTATAATTTATGTAGATCCCTGGATAAAAGATTGTCACAAGTTACTTTCGGTAACTCACGATTGAAGTTTGGAATGCAATTTCTCAGAAACACGACTACAGATTTTCTCCAAAGTGTCGGAGAATGCTATGTACTAGTTCATGAAATTCTTAAATTATCTTATTTTTTTAGTTTAGTGTCAACCATTTATGAGTTTAATATAATTTTGTCGTATACGACATTTGTCAAAAAATTTGCAGTCAGTTTTAGTGATATACGCCAAAATGTGATAACAATTTTTATAAATTAACCATACTTTTTACTAATCAGCCTAATCGTGAGTTTCGCCCGAACAAAATTTCGCCAACAATTTTTTCATCCACCTGTAGTGAACACACGAAAACGAAAAGTGACCCGGTTCTAGAAAATGAAACTCATGATAAAGCTGAATATGTCGGAAACTAAAGAAGAACAGATAACTCTATTTGAAAGATCTTGATTAGTTTAGTACGACAGCAATATTAACGCAATTTGTACCAAATAAGCGAAAAAATTTTAGTCAATTAGTCGGAAACTAAAGAAGATATCCAAAAACCACAAATTGTCAAAATGACGCTTCCGGCAATTTTCCATCCAGGCGACGATATTTGAATAGGTTTGTATAGTTACCAATAGTCAGTACTAATTTGTACTGGAACCTGCAAACTTTACTGGAAAAGTGTATGATAACCCAAAAAATTTGCAAGAGAGCACTGAATCGAGAGCGTAACAACACGAGAGAGCTGCGAATTCTTGCTAGTGA